AATTCAAAATGGAAATTTTTGTTTTTAATTTATTGAACTCGCCTTCAGGATCCGGCATTTTGAGTGAAAAACAATTAGTTATCAAATTAGTAAGCACTGGTCCCAAAAACCCCGAGTAACAAATTTTAAGTAAATCCAATAATTTTTCAAAACTTTGTCCGCCATACTGGATCTGGGGTATTGGGTTTCCAAAAAATGTCACTCATCATTTTAAAGTTAATATTTTAACGAATTTTCAAAAACATAAGCGATTTTTTAACTGAGTAACAAATTTCAAGTGAATTCAATTATTTTCGAAAACTTTATCCGCCATATTGGATTAAAAGTTACCATTTTTCCCGAATTTTCAAGAATTAATTATTAAGCTAATATATTTACCGATTTTTCAAGTATATAACCGATTTTTTAAATTGAATAAATTTTGAGGCGAGGATAAATGAATGTTCATAAATTTATGCCCCATTGTGGATCCGCCATTTAAAATTCTAGAAAATTTATTATCGTATTGGCAATCAACGGCCCTAAAAACATCCGAGTAACAAATTTCAAGTGAATCCAATCATTTTGCAAAACTTGGTCCGTCATATTGGATTTCCAAAAAAACGCCACTCATCATTTAAAAGTAAATATTTTTATCGAATTTTCAACATTGTAACCGATTTTGTTTTTAACGCATCCAATTTTGGAGCTTCATTTCACATTTAAGAGAGTACCCGTCGATTTTAGATACATATTTCGATAAAAACATTTTAACTACGCCAACATTGCTTAAAATTTCTAGAAAATAGGCAGCTATTAAATTTGTGAGTAAGATCCGTTACTTTTAATACGCCCTGAATTTTATCTGTTTTTTCTTTTATTTTATTATATTTTCTTTTTTCATTTTACATTTTTATTCATTTTACATTTCTATAAATTTTATCACACATGCTTCCTCACCCTTTTTAAATTTGACAGAGTAAGTTCCGATGATCCAATTTATTTGCGTAAAAAATTTGGCGTCTTCACTTTAGTCAAATCCTTCCAGCTTCCAATTTTGTATACCTTAGCTAATATTCAAGGCTTGCGCCAACACTCTTCCTTTCGGAAATCAAATCAAGCAACACTCAGACGCGATTATTTACACGCAATTCTCACTTCGGCACATTTGTTTATAATGAATGGTCCTTCACCTTGAACGTAAGCTCGTAAAGAGCAACCAATAATTCACTTTTGTAGACGATATTTAAAACACGTGATCGCGTTGCTAAGAACGCTACTAATAAGAATTATTTCGGTTCGAATTGGTAAGCAAACTGACAAACCACAACGGTCAACGTTTCAACGAAGACTAGCCAAGCTAAAGATCGCTAACAGGCAATAGCATTCTTCTAAGCTTCGTAGCGCACGATCAATAACACCAACAGCAGCAGCCAACCAAGTAACCGCAAAGAGAACTTAGCCAGGCTAATAATTTCGCTCTTGACTAACTACAATATATATAAACAGATGTATGTATGTATGTTCGGATGTACGTATGTATGTATGTAGTAAAAAGCCTACACACAGGTACCTGATGTGTGCATCATAGTGTGTAATTTAAATCGAGCTAAACGTGTCACTGCTCCATTGATGTTGCTGTGAGTAGCGTGTGAGCAACACGATCACCTCAGGAGTAGCAGCAGCAGCAGCAGCAACACAAAACCAGCAGAAAGTGAGTTGCCAGTAATACTACGCCCACGTCGAAACATTGCTTACGACTTTGTTACATATTTAGTGAGTGAATTCGTATGTGCTGGTTGCAGGGATTTTATGTGCTTGTATGTATGTCGGCAGTAGTGTTTTTCCAGTGCCACTATACACCTCAGATATGTTGCAGAATACAAACTAAAATTCAAGTACACTGAACCAAAAGCACATTGGTTATTTTAACCAAGTTATGGTTTGATTTTTCTTTTCATGGTTAATACGCCGATTGTAAGCAATGTGATTCAAGTTGAACATTTGATAACAAATTCGTATGTATGGCAGTGGCTGAACGTGCAGAGGTGCTTGCTTTTATTTGTTGGCTTCCAGCAGTACGAACGCCGTCAGAGGGTTACATAATTTTTATTTATTTTTCTGTTTTTGGTTTTTCTTAATTACGAAAAAGCCTCTGTGAATTGCATAGCCAAATCAAACGACGAAGAAAATTGATACAAGTTGAACATTTGAAGTCAGATGTATGTATGTATAAAGCGGCTGTAGCTGAGTGTGCAGAGATGTTTGCTTTTGTTCAAATCTCGTCAGAGGCAACTTGTTAAAATTATAATAAAAAATTTTGTTTTGTATCTCCGAGTTATGAAAGAGCACCTGTGAAGGGCAGAACGTATTCAAACGAAAAAATCGACAACCAAAAGTTTGGTTAATGTAAACAAAAGTGTGGTGTGTGGTTATTATTACCAGAGCATTGTTGAAAATCTCAACCAAGACATTGTTAATATTAACCAAAAATCAAGTTTGAATTTGGTAATATTAACCAATTTTTTGGTGTATTTTTTCTCAGTGTAAGATTAATTCGCTTTCAGTTAGATTGATGATTGCCTGGAGGAATGATGAACTAGCAATATTACATCATGCCCTCCTATCAAATCTAATTTCTAAAACAAATTCCTTATTCGTTGATAGTAGCATTTAACGGTAGCTACTTGCCAACAAGCAAGTTTTTTCAAGACTTTGGCTGGTTAATGTAAAAGTTAAGACACATATTTCTTTTTTTTTTAGGAAATAAAGCCCATGGGCGTTGTTTCCGCGGGCGTTTTTGCACTGAACCCTTCTCAACGCTCTAAAAAGACTGAAATATAAACGCGTTTGGGGAAAAGGCACCCACACCAATATGTGGGGTACTAAGCGCATATCCCCCACGAGATAGTTGAGAATAGTAATATTGTGGCGTAAATACATATAGCGGAGCCCGAAGCCAGTGGCAATATTGTCTGAACGTATAAGCTGGTGTAAGTTTCTACTATCGTGGGACAGTCCTTCTTAATTACTTTTTTTTAAATAATTTCGCCTATACTCTGTAAAAGATTGAAGCCCTCCATGCACCGACTTCTTGGGCTCTATCAGTTTTGCTCCAGACCTGACAAATCCAACCAGATTTTTACTCACATGAAGTCATGTGGTACAGCAGCAGCCTCTAAAATAGAGGTCCGTCCAGAGTTGAAGTAAATTTGTACTGTCAGGAAGCTTCCGTTAACTTAAAGTTTAGGCTTCCGGATTTTTGACGCGCATTTGAAGCAGTTGCGGCTGCTATAAAGGAGACTGTGAAATGGCTACGTAATACAGTTTAAAAGGCTTCATACCAACTCTGATAGCCAAGCGGAAATCAGGTAATCTCTAGCATAGCTTATGGTACGATCACAACTGGTAGCCTAAGATCACTTCCATGCCGACTAGGGTTCCAGGGCACAGTGACATAGTAGTAAACTGCGCGGCTGCTGAATTGGCTTCGCGGGGCACCCTCGAGGCTACATCTCCTGACGGGGGAGTATATAGCAGTTCGTGTAGCCACCTCCAGACCACTCTTTAATAGATGAACCTTTAGTCGATTCAACGAGAGTTGGGCGAAAAACCCGACAAATTTTCAAAGTCCTCCTAGGCTGTCGTCGACCGGCTGAGTGCAAACTCTCGGCCATAATAGAAGTCCTAATTGGACAATGCTTTCTCAAGCCTAAGATTCGAACATTTAAACGCTAACAACTTCATTTCCTGCAGTTTGTGTGCTAGAAAAATGTCTATTAAGTTGTAATACAATGGACCAAACATAAAATGTCTAAGTGAGTTTTTATAGGATGGTCCCTAGCTACCAGTATAAATAAAATCGAAAAAAGTCAGCGTGGTCCTTCCATTATGTTCATGGGCGGTTTTTCCTTCTCTGTCTTACCATCGTCGCCGAGTCGAAGGTTGTATTTTTATGCCCTAAACTATGTCCATGTCGTTTAAAAGCTCGTACGGTTCGTTAGTCCATTTCCTTCGGTACCCGTCGCCACACGAACAGGGCCATAGGATAGTAGCCTAGAATAGCTCTCTGAATAGACCTCAAAGCCCTCTCATCTTTGTTCAACATCTTCCATGTTTCTGCGCTATTTAAAAGAACGGGCATGGTTAGAGATTTGTAGAGCGTAATTTTTGTTTGTCGTGAATGGCTCTGTTTTTCAGTTGCCTACCGAGCCCAAAGTAGCACCTGTTGGCGAGAGTTATTCTTCACTGGACCTCTGGGCTGACAAGTAACCTAGGTAGAGAAAGTGCTACACAACTTCAATGGCAAAAGGCGAGCACCTTTTTTGTGTTGCCAGGAGGCACTTTGTCTTCTCCTCGTTCTCCACTAGACCTACCTCGTTCGTTTCTTTTTCTGAACTGGAAAATGCTGTGCGGACGCCAGTGGCTATCAAGGCCAAAACACAATAGCGCAGTGGCAGTGGCAGTGACAGTTTTTAAAATCAGCTGTTACTGCTAATATTGGCAGTCAATGCCGCAGCAAACACAATACGGCGTTGTCAGTGACTGCTTTTTTTGACATTCCCTTTTGTTTGTTTACATTTTTGTTGTTGCCTTTTAGGCTTCAGTGACATCAACAGATGTTGGCTGCGTTTCATTTATGTCAAATTCAGCATGCGAAGTTTGCTGCGATGAAGGCAGTGGCAGTGAATTTAGAATTTGGGCTTCAGGCCGACGTTGTCTATATCATTTTCATACGTCAGCAGCCCCCATTTTCATATTATTATTTTTTTTTTTCTTGTTTAAAATTAAATAGATTCTCCAAAACTAACATCGTTATCAGTTTCCATGCTGACACGTAAGTAAACAAGTAAACAAATCAAGTTTATAAATCCAAATATGTATGCGCTAACAACACCTTTACATGATTGTTAACATATTCCAGTTTTAGACGATGCCTCAGGATGCTATCAAAGCTATCAAAGACGAAACTATGCATTGGATTTCAATTCGATTAGAAATAACTTAATTACATTTCTCGATTTTTTTTCGTATTTTATTATGAATAAATTAAATTAAGTTCAAGCTTAAACTAAACCTCTCCAGCAAACAGCTACTACAATACAGGCATGCATACGTACATACATACAAATGTATGTATGTACTTCTTAACACTACATACTTAATTAGCATAACTCAGTAGGCATCTTCAGCAGCATATCCAATAACAGTGAATATCTGTATTTACATAATTTCCTTAACCCGCAACTAGCATGCAAACAATATAATTAAGTTTGAGCAAAAGTATAATTAGCGGTCATATAAAAGAGACCCTATGCATACATGGCTGCCCAATCGAATGGACGACGGCACTTCGATTAAACATTTCTTATTTACATACATACATTGAAGGTACAAAATAACTTAATTACACACAAATGTGCGAGTAAAATTTTCCCCTTTTTCTTTGGTTATTAGCAAACTCAGTTTTTCAGTCATAAGAGTACATATCACGTGCTCAGGTTACTTGTTGCGTCTTGGTAGTATTCGCTAGATCAATGGGGTCACTGAAAATAAAATTGAAAAGGAGGATAAAGAAAGTTTTAAGTTTAATAAAATTTTTATAAAAAAAAAAAGTTGTGTGTGGATCCACTGTGTGACTGAAGTCAAAATTCTTCTTCTATTACGTTGCATTGAAAAATTATCTTAAACTTTATTTTAATGTACCTAAATGTCAATCTCAATTTCAATTTATATCTCAATCTTAATCTTAATCCTAATTCTAGTCCTAAACTTAACCTTAACCTTTATCCTAAAATTAATCTTAATTTTAATTTTAATTTTAATTTTAACCTTAATCTTAATCATATCTTTTATATGGCTCTTGATCTTAATTTCAATCTCAATTTTAATCTTAATCTCGATCTCAATCTTAATCCTAATCATAATTTTAATCTTAATCTTAATATTTTTCTTGCTTTTAATCTTAATTTCAATCCTAATTTCAATCTTGATCTTAATTCCAATCTAAAACTTAATCTCAATTCCAGTCTTAATTTTAATTTTAACCTAAACCTTAATATTAATCATAATCTTAATCTTAATCCTAATTTTGATCTTGATCTTGATCTTGATCTTAATTTCAATATCAATCTTAATCTAAATATCAATCTTAATCTCAATCTCAATCTTAATCTTAATCCTAACCTTAATCTTAATCATAATCTTAATGTTTATCTTAATCTTGATCTTGATCTTAATCTTAACCTAAGTCTTAATCATAATCTTAATCTGTATTCTAATCTCAATCTTAATCTTTACCTTAATCGTAATTTTAATCTTAACCTCAATCTTTATCTCAATCGCGCCCAGCCACGTCGACATCTTTATCTCAATCTTAATCTAAATCTGAATCTTAATCTTAACCTTAATCTTTATCACAATTTTAATATTAATCTTAATCTTATTCTTGCTTTTAATCCTAACTTTGATCTTGATCTTAATTTCAATCTCAAACTTAAACTTAACCTTAGTGTTAATCTCAATATTAACCTTAATCTTAATCATGATCTTAATCTTAATCCTAATTTTTATATTTATCTTGGTCTTAACTTCAATCTCAATCTCAATCTTAATTTTAATCATCACCTTAACCTTAATCTTAATCATATTCTTAATGTTAATATTAATCTTGATCTTAATCTTAACAAAGAAGAAAATTGTCACTTCAAAAAAGTCGAGTTTTAACCAACCTTATGCAAATCTTGGGCGGCTTTTCAGTTTCCATATCTTCTGTTATTTTCGATATGGTGAATATGTCATTGGAGATATTCGTGCTTTGTGTGGCATTGCTTGTATCACCAGAGCTGCCATTGATTACTGCCGGTATTGTTACAATGGTGCGGCTACTACCGTTACGTTCTTTCATGGCCATTCGGCCACCACTGGAGAGTGAAGTGTGACGATTATTAACGGACTATAAGTATAAAAATTTGTCTTTAATCTGGTACTCACATTTTCATTTCAGAAATCCCACTCACCGTATTATTATTCGTTTTGCCACGTATATTGAATACCCCATAGACCAATGGATTCATACACGAATTCGTGCAAGCGAATATGAAAAGTATTTTACGCAACAAAGGATTTACATTATAAGCCGAATGTTTATCAATCCAAAACCACATACAGATGATATAGTATGGGGTCCAACAAATTACGAAAACAATCACAATTGTAATAGTCATTTTGAGTGTACGCTTCTTGGCGCGTCCCAAAACATCATCATTTGAGCGTCGGAATCGGGCAAAACCTACGAACAAAAAAGTTTCGAAATTAATTTATAAATATGTATTTCACATCTATTTAGTTATCAAATGCTTTATGCTAACCATTTTTGTCATCACCCTTAACCATGCGCTTACTCTTGCTATAGATCTCCAAGTAGATCCTGCCATAACAATATATGAAAGTTATCAGCGGAAAGGTATACATGGCGCACATAGTTGAGATCTGATAGATCATTTTCTGTAGTTCGGTGGGAAAGGAATGAAATGTGACGCACTGGTAGTAACCTGTCACTTTGGGATGCTGTTCCAAATGGAATACGAATGCCTGTAAAATAGAATGAAAATCAAATTTGTCAAAATGTAGTTTTAAGTAAAACAAAAAGTTAAATAATAAAATAAACAATGCACTGAAGATGGCACGAATCCTGAATTCTCCATCTCGGAAGCTTTAAAATACCTTATATATTTTTCGTGCTCTTAATCTTAATCTTAATTGCACGTCACCAAAATGTCATTTTATTAAGAAGCAGAAAATAATTTGCATCAAATAATAAAATTCTTACAATTATATATAGATATAATTAGATATAAAAAATTAAATCTCAAAATAACCGTTATAATATGATAAAAAAATTAAAATCAAAATTGTATCGATAAAATACAAATCCGAAAATAACAGTAAATTTAACCGTTTATCGGAAAAATAGAAGTCCCATTTTAACTGCTAATTTATGATTTTTATTTTAAAAATCTTCACTGTTACCGTGGAGACTCCTCAGATTCGGACACGCAAAAGTACTTGAAACTCTACCGCATAATCTACGACAGTTAGATTATACCACTCCTCTACTCTGTTTAGACAACAAAATCTCCACAAGAATCCCAGAACGGAAGGAATGGGAAGGGACCACAGGGTATACGGCCATATATACAGATGGCTTCAAGCTTAAAAAAAGAGTCGGTAGCGGGATTTACTCTAATGAACTCTTGCAGCGTCTTTTAGGCAGAGCTAAATGCCATGATGGAGGCGGCTCGGTGGTTCATAACCTCCGCCCCTCCAGAACGGGCTATCGCTATCCAGGCTGCTATCAAATCTCTCAAACCTAACAGAACAACGTCCAAAGTAGCCAAAGACGGCAGGAAAATTCTCAACCTGCTGACATCAAAAACCTCCTTAACTGTTGTATGGGCCCTGGACATAGGGACATTCCTGGCCACCGCCTAGCCAACGAGCTGGCAAGGGAATATCTGAAAGTCAATTCTGCTCAGAATTCGGACATACCTCTAACCTCATGCAAACACAGATTAAAGGCTGAACTCATCGAGGAGGTAAACACCAGATGGGCTGTGGAAACCACCTGCCATACTACCAGGCGAATTTGGCCAAAGATTGATGTAAGGCGATCCATAGCTCTTAGTAGTCGTGGTAATCACAGGACACTGCCTGATGGGCACACACGGTAAAAGGTTAGGATACCCCACCAACGATTTTTTTGTCGCAGTTGCAGGGACGAGGAGGAGCAGGAGACCATCGAACACTATATCTGCCATTGGCCCGCCCTGGGCAACACGCGCAACTAACTCTTCAACAAGTACTTTTTGGATTGTTTAGCCGGCCTCGACTTTTTCAATTATTGAGGGAGGGATAGAAACCAATGGCTTCGGCCAGTGGTATCACAATGGACTTTCCAGCCTACGTGTGCTCCGTGCTCACCTAACCTAATCGTTACGGTGCTCCCTTTAAATCCCTGCTATAGCAGCTGTATTGAAGCAACGAGGTAGGTACTTAGAATCAGAATTTCAGCATAATCTGCTCAGTTGGCTTGCCTTTGCAAGGGTGATCTTTTGTTTAGTGGCTTGAGGTAGATTTTAGTACACATGTAGTGATTCTCCAACCTCTTACCCATGTTCGCCACGAACGACGTGAACCGGTTTTCAACCGAACCGGTTTCGAATTAATTAACTAAACCATTAACCGAGCAAAACTTTGCACAAATGTTTGACCGGAAAAGGTCATTTTGACCAATTTTTAATAAACAAACATGGTAATACCAGTTTTTTTTTATTATCAGAAATTTTTTGTTACAACCTGTACCTGAATAAAAATAATACAAGTATACATAGTTTTATTATTCCCGAACCGTTTAGCCAAACCAAAACCCCGGTTGAAAGACAAAAAAAACCCGTTTTGACAAACCAATCCATAGGTTCAAATACGGCTCGAACCGCTTACCGAGACGACCAAATTTTGCTTCCAATTCAGCACCCTGATCGTCACGCCGCTACATGATCCCACAATTATTTTTTTTTTTCATAGAAATACTAACAAAACCATATATCGATACCTGAGTGGAAGATCAACCTATCTCGGCAGCCAGTTCTAAAACGATCTATCTAAGAAAACTTTTTTCAAGAACGCCCTATTTCAGAATTTGGTTGAAGAACGCCCTATTTCACGATTCAAAAACGCCCTATCTCAGCACATTTTCAAGTGAGATAGGGCGTTCTTCAACAAAATTCTGAGATAGGGTGTTTTTCAATAAAATTCTGAAATAGGACGTTCTTGAAGAGTTTTTCTGGCATAGGGCGTTTTCGAACTGGCCGCCGAAATAGGTTGATCTTCCACTCAGGTGTCGATATGTATGTCCAAATTTCAAACTGTGTAGAAAAATTCCACAAAATTTTAAAATAACAACCAGAATTTTTAGAAAAATTCTAAGTATGCAGTTTCATAGCCCATAAAGGGCAAGATTCAAATAGCTCAGAATTCGCGTTGATTTTTGTAAATTTTTTTGTCATATAAAGCACATTTTTTAATGGACTATAAAGCTACATACTTAAATTTTTTTTTTAATAAAAAGTTTGTTGTATATTTTTTAATTTCCAAAATTTTTTACAAAGTTTGAAATTTGGACTTATATGGTTTTTGTTAGATTATGAGCTGTATAATGTTTATAAAAATAAACATTAAATAAACAAAAGAAAAATAGCTAAAACTGGTAAAAATGTCGTGTACCTATTAAACTGTGCGACAAAAACAAAAAAAAAAAAATCGAAACACATGAAGCAATCAATATACTCATAAACAGTGGTAAAACTGCGTTTTTTAGTTTTTCTCTCTGACGTCCAGATTTTTTAAAAGGACTGTTGTTTCAAAGATAGGATTAATTCCCAAAATTTTTTTAAAAAATGCATGCCCATGTAGAAAAACAGTAGGGGTACCAAATGAAAGAGAAAACTCTGTGGAATAAAAAAAAAATGCAATTTTTTTTGTTCACAAGTGTGATCACAAGTGTGAATAGATATTGAAAATGTACTTTTAATTAGTTTAATTTTTTTAAGCGAATAAAGTTAGCAGGAGGAAATTCGAGGATGTGGGCGAGTGCATATTAGTAGTCCTTAACATATAATGTTTTCGCAAATAATTATTGCAAAGTTTCAGGGATATTCAATGATAAAACGCTAAGAGGATATTTTTAATACCTTATCTTCCCTAAACAGACAAAATTTAATCGAAATTAATTCTACAGAATTTTCTCTTTAATTTGATAGTCATGCTGTTTTCCTACATAGCACTAATTTTTTTTATAACATTTTGAAGTAATTATATTTTTCAAATTTCAAAGTCCTTTAAAAAAAAACAGGCGTCAGAGAAAAAAACTAAAAAGGCAGTTTTACTATATTTGGCCCATGGTTTCGCGAATATACAAAATTTTTGTGTGTGTAAAATTTACTGTTGCACGGAGTTATTTTTCATATGAATATACATATGTACGTCTCAGTGTGCCTCGCTTTGTAGAGAGTTGCCGTCTTACCCAACTAACCTAACCTCTGATAACAATTAATTACCAATAACTATTGAAATTGATGAGTATCTTGTCGGAGGGTGATGGGTTGAAATAAACCAAGCATCTGCTTCACAGCTACCCTCACAGCCCACAATCTAAGGTTTAGACAACTTGGAACACATTTTACACTTAATCATTTGAAGAGCTTTCAATCGTTTGCGATGCTTCATACAAATGTATCTCCCTCTACTACTCAGAGGGAGCTGGCTTACCTAAACTATTGCTCGTCTAATTTTTTTTTTTCTATCGAGCCCTCCGAACTTACCTGCGGTGTACTGCATATCACTGATGCCACCCATGCAATTGCCAACATAATACGACCGCGACTTGTTGAAAATTTCAAAGGTTTCAATATGGCATAATATCTACATAAAGCAAAAATAATCATTAAATTATTATTAATTTTTTTATTGAAAATACGCGTGCCAACTCACCGATCTATTGATATGCTGACAAGCACAAAACTTGATAAATACAAGCCGAATACGCGGAAGAAGCTCATCAAACGGCAAACAAAATCGGTAGAACGCCATTGCACTGTATACGCCCACGCTATCTCCAGCGGCATTAATAGGAAAGTCACCATCAAATCAGCAATGGCCTTTTGACATGACAAGATTGTGATGCGACGTGATGCGATGCGAAGCGATGCGAAGGAAGCGCAGTAGACATTAGACGCGCAGAAGGTAGGCGGAAAGTCACCAAATCAGGCGGCAAGTCAGGCGAGTGATAAGAAAATACAAAGTAAGTGTTACTAATGAGATAAAGTACCTATGTATGTATGTAGGCATGTACAATGTATGTACATAGTACATATGTATGTATGTTTGAGACGAAAAATACCGGATATATACATATAATATATTAGCACATATGTACATATGTACATATAAATATATGTTTGTGTATGTATGTAGCTGTATTCATATAAATAAATAAGCGTAGAAATATTGATAAATACATATGTATGTATGTATGCTTGCTTCTAGTTTTGTTTTCCTACTTGGCTAGTTAGGCTAAAATTTTTATTTTATTTTATTTTTTTTTGTTTGCTTTTGTTACTTAATTTCCAAAATGAGTAATATTATTTTATGTATGTACATACATATGTAAGTATTTATACAAATTTATTTACCAAATGCATCAACATAATATCGATGCGGGACGGACTGCGCGTACGATTGTGCCAACGTCGCTTCACAATCAAATACAACACTGTTGAGTTGCCAATGCTGGAGAGCACAAACAGGATGCTGTATGCAAAAATTGAAAGGTTTTCATTCAACAACAACAATACATAAAAAAAAAAAAAAATAATGCTGTTTTAACTATGCGCTCTCACCTGTAAACTGTGATCGATAGGCGATGACCATCGTTGAAGATCATATCCTTGGAATAGTGCATTGTGCCATTTGTTTCGTTGACCACATTCGACCAATCCGGCATGATGCGATGATCGTAAATCTTTTCATTAACTTCATCTTCGGTTCGTGGCATTTTCATTGCACAAAAGTTTGTCTGGCTGATAATTGGCAAAATCTAAATAGTTTTATTATTCCCCTATTTATGTATATATGTAAGTGCGCGTGCCCTGTGTAATGTATTCGTATTTGTGTAGTTGCTGGAATGTGTTTTGACCGCTACGCTACAAATATATAGGTAAACATTTACAAGTTTATACAATTGTATGTACATACATGTAAATATGTATGTTTTGTGCCAGACAGATACCATTTAATATTTATGTATAAATTTAATCAAGTATATAAATAAACTTACATACAATTTATATGTGCATACGTGATATACCAACAATACATACACTAGGCACAATCGTAGTTCATAGGCCTTTGGGTGGGTGGCCGGCTGGCTGGTAATTGTTTTTATATGCATGCAAATGTTTGTATGTATTTGCATTGGCACATTAGTATACTAATACCTACATATTTATTGCGGTTAATTTGCGTTAGTGTGTTGAAAGCTGCCTGCGTTTGTGTTGTTGTGCGCAGGAGGTAGTGCAGATTAAAAATTTATTTGCATTAAATTTATTTCAAATCGTATTTTTGGTATAAATAAAGCAATTTTAGATCTTTGATTATATATATTTATAAATTGTTTATTCATCGTTTTCTTTGACGTAGTGCAAGAATGTAATTTCGAATATTTTTTAACATATTTACATACATACATATTTCCAGGCAGAGTAAAACCATAATAAAGTGGTTCAATATTCAACTTTGACGGATTTTTTCTTTTAGATATTTGTCAAAATTATTTTCTTTTTGTATTTTTCGTAGACGAGAGTTTAAATACGAGTATTATAGTGACCTTATTGTGTGGCTGAGGATTGTTTTTTTTTTCTTAAATAATGGGAGTATCTGGTTAAAAAGAAAAACACTTGGAAAAATTTTTCGCAAAAAAAATTCAAAAACATTGGTACAACAAATTTGTAGGGGAAAGTATTATAAAAAAAAATTGATTTAAAAAAGTTTATACCTTATTTTTGGTATTACATACGTGTTAAAAAAAATTTTTAAGAAAACTTTTAATACATTTTTTCGCTTCTTTAGGAAAGAAATTGTATCAACCAAAAAACAGATTTAAAAATGTAAAAAAAAAAATATTTTAAACCTTAAAAAATTTATTCAGAAAAAGTTTGTAATATTCTTTTTTTGGATTACGTATTTTGGGAAAAGATTTAAAAAAAATTTAGTACATAGATTAATTTTTAAATATCGGTAGAAGAAAAGTTGTGGAAAAGGGACTGGAAAAATGATTCAGAAATATATAGCATTTTTTTTTTTATTATTTGTTAATGTTCTTTTTTGGTTAAACGAAAATTAGAAAAAAAAATATGTACAAATATTTTACTGAGTTTGAGACCGTTTTACATTAAAAATTATGTGAAAAAACAACAATAATTTACACATAGTAGAATTATATTAGGCCGAAATATCAAAAAAAAAGGTGACCTTAAAGACGAGCACACCTTAAAGTTAAACCTTTGGAAGACCGCCGGCTTGTGCGCTGGAGTTGCTGGTTCAAATCCTAGTGAACTCTATGAAGAAGTCTGAGCAGTTGTGGTGATCTCCGAAATAGCGGCGGCTACAATTTCTACCATGTGTAAAATATTGCATTAAATTAAATTGTAAAACGGCTTCAAGCTTAATAAAATTGTCATATTGTATATAATTATTATTAAGCCAAAACTAACAAAAAACTATAAAAACAATTTTAAAAACATATTGATACAAAATTTTGAAGAGAAATTTTCAGTGAAAAATCAAAGAAAAGTTTAAGAAATATTTCGTAATTTTTATATTGGTATTACGTATGCGTGTATATGTTTTTTTAGGAAGAAATTGTATACCTAATAAAACTTTCGGTATTTTTTCTTTAATATCGGTATTAAGTTCTTGAGTGAAAGAATTTTTTAATATACATAAAAGAAAATTAGAAATACAAACAACTTTTTTATTGACTTTTTATGTGTATTTTTTTTATTTTTTTTTATTTTTTTTAAAGAAAACTAGAAAACTCAATTTTTATTTTTTTAATCAATTCGGCACGATTTTGTCATAAGGGATGAAATTACTCAACAAATTAACACAAAAACAAAATATTAGTAGACTTTAAATGCGTTATAAATCCAAAATTTCTATGAGAATCGCACTTTATAAAGCTCTTTAAATCCATTTTAATTTTCATGAAGAAGGCCATTCGATTTCTAAAACTTTTTCTAATTTTTTTATTGTGATTCGATATTGTTGTAAATAAAAGATTTAAGAAAATTTTAAAGGTGTTATCAAAAAGCTAAACAAATAGATTAGCAAATTCTAAGTTTTTTTCGCTTTTTAAATATGTATGTTTGAAAATTTTCTTTGACAATCTTTTTTATCGCAATGATTTTCTTTTAACAATCTTTGAAAGACAAAAAAGTGTTTGTTTGGGTAAAGAAGTTCGGAATATTCTCTTTGTTACAGCCAATTTAACGAAAGCAATTTAAGTGGAAAATTATTTTAATTTATCAAATTTTATATCGAAATTTACAAAAAATAAAAAATCATCTTCCATTTAAATTGCTGGTGAAACCGGCTGTACGTTAATTAATTTTTTTTTGAAAAAGATGGGACGAAGTTCCTAATTAGATTCAGAAAAAATGTTTTTTTTTTATCAAAATTACATGTTTGTGGAAAAAATTAAAAAAGTTTTTGTTTTTTTTTTTAATCGAGACAAAAGTTTTGGTGGCGAATTTTACTTTATTTTAGATTTTTCTGATCGAATTAGATTTCGATTATTTTTCACATTTTGTTATCATATAGCGCATCATTTTATGACAGATAATTCTATTAAATTAATAAATGTGGTGTGCAACTCAATTGATCACCAACGCTCAGATAACGGGACCGACTTTACTCACTTTTAAATGGCCGGGATGGATTGTATCGGGAAGGTCTTTAAAAACCTGCGGGCGGATATAACCTGCAACTTCCAAAAATTCAGAAAACCCTCCTTAAAAACTATATGAAAGGGTTCGTTTAAAGGAGCTCTGTTGAACGGCATCAAATTTGGTAATTAACCGATTCATATATTAAATTAGTACTTTTTAATGTTGCATTGAACAGCAAAGCAAAACAGAATAACCATTAGATGTCAGATCTTTAAGGTTTTAGTTTTAAAATATCTTGAAAAGGAGTGTTAACTGTACCAAAAATTAAAGTTCAAATTAATCGAAATATGTATCACAATATCAGACGAAAAAGATTTAAGATGATTTTAGTTTGAAAATACTCTAGTAGAGGGCTGCCACCTGTTTGAAAAGTCGAATTTTTACAAGTTATACAACTTGTGTATAAATAACTTATAACTGTATAAAATATTTGAGTACGAGGGATAAACCAATGAGTTTTAAGAAAGCTTTAGTTTTAAAATATATATAGGACTTTTCGCATAGGTGGAAACCCTAATAAAATATATGTACATATATGAGTTTTATTAGGTATACATATAGTGCCCGACATAATAGTAACGTCATCCTATATTGGCAAGTTTTGACTATTTATTTTTTTATTATTTAATTTGAGTGGTTATTTATAAAAATTTAGTTTACGCTATACAAAAAAAAAAAACATACAATCCGAACGGTCCAGACCCACGGAAACCAGGATACAAATTCCTCTATTTAATTAGCCAGACAAGATTTTTGAATATGCATTGAGAATACAACGCAAACTCATAAATACATATTTATGTGTGAAAATTATATAATTCGATTAACAACAAATTAAAATTTCAATATCAATTAGAAAAGGAAATAGCGTGAACGGATAATGTACACAAACAAAAATTAAAAGAGTTTGCGTACACAAAAGATTAAAAATAGCTGCTAAGCGACAACTATTTATGTGCATATGTATGTATGTATGTAAATATATTTTTGTACAAATCGTTTCTTGTTTGCACAAATAAATTTGTAAATTGCTTATTTACTAATGGACAATATTTATTGAAATAGGCAGCACTTAATGGGAGGCAAAAAATTTGGTTCAGTGATAGTTTTTGAATTTTTGTGAGTATTGGTCTGATTATGGCAACTTAACGTAACTTAATGCCACGTCGAAATCTGTTTCATTTTGATTCTCTAAGTTCTACATTCCGTTAAGTTAAACTAAGTTGCCATAATCAGGCTTTATGTGTAGTAGCAAAATATGTGCAATGTATGTATGTATGGCATATTTTTACAAACACATACACATATAGTAAGTTGTTGGTGTTGATACGTGGGGAACATTTCTTGAAAATTAAGGCACGTGGAAAGTAACGTTGAATCCGAAGGAGAAGAGTGCCATGCCGCTGCTGCAGAGAAATATGCAGCATACAAAGGCACGCTGCAGTCAGTTGCGATGCAAGCGATCTCATAGCGATATCGGGAAAGAGAATGGAGAGAATACATTTTTTTTTTTCATTGAAAAGAAAAGAAGATGAGCCGGCAATGTTGGCTGGCAGGAGTGAAGCTCGGTATTTTTTTCAGAAAACAAGGCCGATAATGAGCCGATTATGGAAATTTGGTATCAACACTCTCAATTCTTTTTAATGGTAACACAGGAGGTTCAACTTTCTAAGCCAAATAGATCACTTCCTTCATCCGTATTTCAAAGGGAATGACTGTCTCACAGGCTAGTCCTGGACGAATGTGGTCAAGCTAATAAGCCAAACATTTTAAGGTTTTGCTTTTGCAGCTTACTTCCCTTCTCCGCAACCGCAATCGAAAATAGACTGCAGAGCCGCAACAAATTCTTCAAATTGCTAGCCGCTTGTGTGACCTTCGGGTACCCTGTCGTAAACTCTCTCTCTAAACTGCCTCGCGATACCTTCTGGTGACTTCTGGGTATCACTTACATGTCCAAACTCTGCTAAATAGATAGCATTATAGCATATTATGATTAAGCAGTTTCTGTTGGGACTTGACGCCTCTATGTCCGTTAGAAGACATCTCATTGATCTCAAAAACTATCAGCTATACATTTGTCTTACGCTGAACCAGAAGGACTATAGTAAAGACAGACTTTAAACGGCATTAAACGAGAACCAATGAACACTTTCATCAATTATCGTCACGTGAATGCCGTCATTGCCGATGAACCTCCACCTTTCACAAACAAGGAGCCCGTGTGGCCTGATACTTGAGCAGACTAATTTCCTACCTGTGTGTCCAGAATTAACTTCGACATTACCAATCTATGTACATTCGTCCAATATGTGAAGATGCCCCGCACGATACTAACTACTTCTTCATATGTCCAATCAAACTAACTCTTCTAATAACCATCTCGCTATGGTAAAATTCCATTTAAATTGATCATTGCTGGACCCACGATTATATAAGCTTGACGACAACACTTACTCAATTCATCTACTCAGGCCGGGTTTAGTAAAACACTACGACAACAACGAATAAGAGCAAAGACCCCCCTATACAGGGACAAACTTCACGTTCTTCCACATGGCCAAGACTTGGAACTAAGTTAGATTTTGAACCAGTGAGTTCAAGGAGATCGGAACTACCATTTTTTTCGAAACGTACTCTGATAATTCCGACATTATACAGTCCTCCAGTCGGAGATTGGAGGTATAGAAAAAGTAAAAGTAAGCTATAAATTGAATCGAAAGCCGGCAGACGTTAATTTTTTTTACTTGGAAATCAATTACATACATTCCGCGCGCAGTACCTCTCCTATTAAAAAAAAAAAAAAACAACATAATCGAAAGCTAGAAAATTAAAAAACAAAAATATTTATTAGAGAAATTCTTTTGCGCATAAAAACCAAATAAAAATATTTCTCCACCAATAAGCTCTTTCATTTGCTGATGTCGTTGGCCGAAAAAAAAATGTCTGGTTCATGGAGTGTAAATAAATTTCTTGTGTGATTTATTCCATTTCAGTAGCTAAATTTCTTTTCTCTTCATTTTGGCATTCGTGTTTACATCACGAAATTTAGAAATACAAATATTTGCACTGGTGAACAAATATTTAATCGATTCAAATTGAACCCCAAAAATACAACTTCAACTCTCTTAATTTGTTCTATCTACAGCATATCGAGCCCTAACCGTCAAAATAACGTAAGCGACATTTTTTTTCAAAATTTTATTTTTGATGCTGAAATATTCCCAGAGTATCAAGATGCATTTGTGCATCAAAAATAAAATTTTGAAAAAAATTTCGCTTACGTTATTTTGGCGGTTAGGGCTCGATATGCCCGATTTCTACTTGGCATTAAATGACAAAAAATTTTAATGATACATTTTGCCATTAAATGATACCCCACACTGAATCAAAAATCCATCTCTGGATCAAAGAAAAACTTTCCTTACTTTAAGATCGACAATTCTTCCGAATGAGTAAAAAATTCTCCCAAATGAGTAATTTTTCTTTGGAATGTGTAAAAACGTACACGAAAATATGGAAACGTGGATGTAATCTATCATTTTGATGATGATGGCATGGCCAGGAGCGATGTGAAAACGGCGTCTTGCTTTCCACCTCCAGAAAAGCTCCCAAACGCTATCTGTCCTTCTTGTTATAAATTTCAGTCTTGCCGAAATTATGCTATGCAAACATCTTACTTGTGCTGGTTTGACACTCCCTTGCAAAAGGTTGCATTTACGAAGGACGGAGAAAAGGGGAGGAATGAAATCTCTTGGTGCGAAAATGGTAGTAGAAAAGTACGCAAAGTAGGCAAATAGTAGTGAAATTCCTTTTGTAAATTCTAATGTATTTGCAGGAAATCTGGCATTTTAAACGAAATTTGGAACGTAATATTAAAGTATCTATGTGAATTACGTAATTTATGTGCTATTTAGCTGTATAAAAACTGTAAAATGACTCAAAATTAAAATAAGACTACTATAAGATTGATGCAAACATCCAATTTATGTTTTCATCAGTTATTTATGCTTCATATGCATATACAAATAAACATACTGCACAAACGCTCATTCTTTTATTTCACACCAAAGCTACACTGTTTTCATGTAAATGTGCAAAGAAGCAACATGGTGCCACTGCTAAGGGAGCGGTGCGAGAGAGACAACTGTCAGTTTATCGAACCTTGTATTATTGAATCATGACTTGATACTATGTATATCTAGCTAGGTTATGCTAGTCCTCGGTTCTGCTTTGATAATAAGTTCTCGATAAGAATCCTCGTTAGGAGCGAATGTAGAGTGTAAAAAGCATGACTCTGCTCCCATTTCAATCTTCATCGATTACTCCAAACTAAATAATAGAACACTTCTACGCATAAACCTGCGTCTACGGGGGTATTGCGGTGCCTTCCAAGCTGGCAAGGAAAGGAGAAATCCTAAGTCAATCAAATCTGCCCAATATGCCGGAAAGAAAACTATCCCGAAACGAACTATGGCACAGATCTGTTTTCATTTCATCTGTTTCAAAAAGCCAACCACAGGTGGGCTGGTTTCATCAACGGACACTGTTTAGTGGGAATATATGGAGAGCGTAAAGGTTTATCTTCTCATGACTTCTACCGCAGTGGCATCATCTTTGAGCTTTCCATGCTTTCTATGCTCTTTCTGCAATGTTCGTATTTATCAGGCTGTAATACATATATTCTTATATTGTCGGCCGCTGTGGTGTAGTGGTAAGCAGTGCGCGCTTTCACTCATCAGCACCTGGGTTCAAACCCTGGTCAAAGCAACATCGCAAAAAAATATAGAAAAAGGTTTTTTCTTCACAGCGGTCGTCCCTCGTCAGGCAATGGCAAACCTCCGAGTGAATTTCTGCCATGAAAAACGGCTTCTCATAAAAATACAATCGCCGTTCGGAGTCGGCGTAAAACTGTAGGTCCCTCCGCTTTGTGTGACAACATCAAGGCGCACACCACAAATCGGAGGAGAAGCTCGGCCAAACACTAACATATGTGTAAGCGCCAATCTATTATTATTATTATAATACATATATTAAATGCATTGGCGTGTGATATGGTATCAACAAAAAAAAAAACTTTTAAAGATCAAGTTTTGAAATAAAGGACAAAATAGATTTTTAGAAAAATAAATAAAGTCAAAGGACAGATCCTGGAGAAAAAGTACGGATAGTAAAATTTCATTTTTAGTTTTTTCTCTGAAATCAGGATTTTTTTTTTATTATTTAAAAAATGCATGCCCAGTTGCACCTATCAATTTTAAATTTATCAGTCTGCTTAAACTAAAAATGACACCATTTTGTTCGGAAAGTTTGTCATTTTAAATTTTAACAGTCTGATAAAATTTAAAATTGATTAGTGGGCCATTCCATTGTGAATGGTGGGACATTTTACACGAGAATGTGATCAACTGTGAAATTTAACTATGGCATCGGTACAACTAATGTATAAAACTGCTTTAATAAAAATACCAAACGATTTCTTAGTTTTACATAACTATCATTTGAATGAATGTGACTGTTAGGACATTGAAAATAACTCTATTTTACTCTCGTGCACTCATAGATGAATTTTAGCCAAAATAATTAATCTTCACGAACGATGTTTTTGTGTTGTAAAATGTGAATTATGTATATGCTTTCGTTTTCAATAAAAATTTGTTTTATATAATCTTCATAGAAATATTAAAAAAAATATTTAATGTTGCGACTGGTGGGACATTTCCTTGTAACTGGTGTAAAGTAATTATGCCTGAAACAAAAGTTTTCATAGACAAAAATTACAACTTATTTTTATTATTTTTTTATTTTTTTTTTCAACAGATTAATGAAATGTAGTCATTTAAAAAGAGGTTACTACTGAAATAGCGATAATTATGGCATATTCAAATTTATGTCGTTTTCCTCTTTTACATGGAATGACCATAGTGTAACCAGGCATCAGTACAATGTCGAATAACAATGTGGTTATCAAATAAAAGAGAAGATTCTGTGGAATTAAAAGAAAATGAACTTTTTTTGCATAAGAACAAATGGGTATGGAAAATGTTCTTTTAAATATGTATCCTTGAATTTGGAATTTTTGTTTATTATATTTAGGGACTAATAAAATACTTGAGCACTTAAAAAAATAAAATTAACTAAAAGGGCATTTTCAATGCCTATTCCGTTCTTTTAAACCAACAAAATTTGATTTTTCTTTTTAATTCTATAAATTTTCTCTTTCATTTGGTTAATTTACATTGCACGGATTTTTTAAAAGTATGTTTTGAATTAATCATATATTTAAAATTTCAAAGTCTTTTTAAAAAATTCCGACGACAAAGTGAAACAAGAGACTCAGTTTTCCTATATTTGGCCCATAGTTTCGTGAGTATATTGATTATTTCGTGTGTTTTGAACTTTTTTCAAATATAAATTGTGAGAAAAATTACTTTCTTAATCTTCCTTAATAGTACCATTTAAAAATATAAGTAAATATTTTATCAAAAACTCACTTTTCGCTACAAGGAATTCAAGCGTAGCCGCCTTATCACTCGGAAGTCTTTTGTATGTTATTGAAATTAATTAAGCGAAGATATGTATTACTTCAAAGAAAGTAAAAAGAAAAACACAACGCGGAATGTACCGTAATGCAGCTGACCTTGACCGAATCAGCGTCGCTACTATCAATGTCTAATTGCGTTGAAACCACTTAACAAGTCGACGGGGCGTATGAGTAACATACAAAGTTCACTGTATACCACTCATACTTTGTACAAATTCACGTGCATACTTATCTATGCGTATGTATATAGTATGTGTATGTATTGTATATGCTAACTCTTTAATCACGCTTATGATATCCTGTAAACCGCTTACAGTTACTCGTATATATGTATGTATTTATTTATAAAACGCAGCAGACATGCCCACATCTTACGCCGTGCACGAGTGAACAACTAACTAAATAAATGAAAGCAATCGCCTGCCGATAGCAGCAACAAACGGCACTCAACGATGCTGCCAGCGTTAAGAGCTATTAATGTATCATAAACACTTTGTATATAACACTAGCGGCACCATCAGCAGCAAAGGCAGCATCAAAGGCAGTAAACACTTGTATGATATCAATTAACAATACCAACAACAACACGAGTCCTCGACCAATTGTTTACGCTGGAAAACAACTAAATGATAATCAATGCTATGCGGATTTTTCGCTCGTGCTTGAAGTACGACAGACGACGAACGACGGACGACGGACGAGTGAGTATAGGCTAATCAACGGACATTGGCTAATTGACTCTTTGACTTATTTGATTACTTAGTAGCTGATTTTTGTACGAAATAAATACATTCCCCAGTTTCAAGTAGACAGTGCTGGTTTTGTGTGCTCTACGCTTGGGTTTCATTTGTATGTAAATATGTACTCGCTCGCACTTACATATTTAAGTATGTATGTATGTATTTGGTATTGTTTGTGTGTGTTAGCATCATTGGGTAATGTTTTCCAGTAGCCACTGGTCGCTGCCGCTGCTACTGCTGCTGCTACTGCTGCTGCTGCTGCCACTGCTGCTGCTGCTGCTTGCTGCTGCTGCTGTGCTGTTGCTGATAAGACATCGAACACTCACCTCACTTGACCCTACAAAATACCCGCCCGCGCAGTAAAAATGTTATAAACAGCAACAAAAAAGTAAATAACAAAAATACTTATAATCAAAACAGCAATAACAAAGCGAAAACAGGAGTTGGTTGGCTGACAGGCAGTGGCAGAGCGAAGTAGAAAAATAAAAAGCTATAAAATTGTTGTGCCAACTAGAAATCTATGTATATAGGTATGTATGTACATTGGGGCGGGTCTTTTTTCACTATGCGCGTATTGGATGGGAACATTTTACGTATAATTTTAAGCAAATTTGGCGAAGAAACTATCCCTACAAGAATTGTGTGATGGAAACTAACACATTCTCATTTATCTTACTAACACATTTGCAAATTTTGCGTTGGTTAAAAAGAGACCATTAAATAAGGCCATAAGTTGGACGGAAGACGGAAGATCACATGTACACAAATGTTTACATCAGATTCTTCACACTGCCCTTTAGAATTTGATAGAAACTTGTAGGTAGCCAGTGACAGAAATCTCTATCAGTATTGCCACTCAAATGATTTGTCAAATGATAGTCACTGTTCTTGCAGGGGGGTCTAAAATCATTTTAGAATATGCCAAATTTCGAAAATAGTTTTCGTAAAAAAAAAAGTGAAAAGTTTCACTATTGCGCCCTCTGGTGGCAGTTTTAAGAAAAAGATAAGTGCAGAAATGGACTTTTCCTAACAAAGAACCCTTCTATCATAGTTTTATACAAAGTTTACTAGCACTTCTTTAAGACACTACAGCAAAATGCTAAGAAACCTACATATGTTCGCAATATGTCGCAATATGGCAAAATCCAAATTTATTTTATACCCATGATTTCTTCGGATAATTTTATTAGAATTACACGTAGAATCCTTCTGTGCTATATGCGCATAGTCACAAAAATCCCTCATACAAATTGACCCGTCCTAATGTACATATTTCTTCTTTTGCATTACGCCACGTTTGCCTTTATTTATTTATACAATAATTGCTCAAAGTTCGATTTCTACACATCGCACTGATTTGGCGAATATGAATGTAGTCGATGATACCGCGCACCACATTTACATAGTTTAAAATTTCCAGCTTGGCTAGTTTTGCGAAATTAAATCATTTCCAAAAAAAAAGCTCAAATAAATCGAAGTATAAAAAAGACAAAACAAAATAAATAGACAGACTAGTCGCACTGGATAATGTGGAAAGCACTGCAACAGCAATAATGACCGCGTACCACGCCAAAATATTGAATTATCACTGATAGCAGCCGCTTACGCTGCTGGCTGTGGGCCGTTGTAGCTACTAGCGGCAGTGGTGCATTTATATAAATTTAGCGAACAAAAAATCGGTCATTGCAACTTCGTAGACCTTCTTTAGAGCAGTATTCAAAATCTGAGTGAAATTGCTGAAGCGATTCTCTAGAATACCATTTCATACTGGCGTGCCAATTTTGTTCGTACATATTTACAATGGGATTAGAAAGTAGCTTTATATTATATATATATTTCTAGACCAATTTGTAGTTTTTGAAATAGCTTTTAATATCACTTGTTCTACGAAGTCTAGCTTAAATTTCGAATCCATACAAAATTCATACAGCCTTGTACAATGACGCTGAGCTCTACCCACTGAAAAAAAAGGACGCTCGGAGCCATTTGAAACCAAACGAGGGTTTAGGCAATTCGACTTATGTACTTTTATATGACTTCTTCAAACTTTTGTGTGAGTCAATTGATTATAGAGGATACCTAAAAAATAAATTTCAAAAAAAGTCGATAAATAAAAATAAATTAGAGATGAGATTGTAGAAATTTAAAGAATCGTAAAACAATTTTCAGAAGGTGTTGCTTTTTAAGATATGAGTTTTTAAACTTTGAAAAAAATAATTTTATGGCAAACTAAATCAAAAATAAATTTAAATTAAATACAAATTGTTTAACATAACTTTATTAAGAGTTTACAAAAAAAAAAATTCAAAGTTCAATAATGCTATCCTTAAAACAAACAACTTCATGAAAATTGCAGATCTTTTAAGGTCAGTTTGAGCTCACTGATAAACAAAAAATTTTCAGGTAAAAGTGTCACCGTTTTTGAAATATTTACATTTTTTCGATTTAAAAAAAAAATTGTGCCTTTTCATGTGTTTTCTTTAACTGTAACTTCAAACCGGGCAATACTTAGTAAATTTTTTATGTAAAATACTTCCAGATAGTTGCCTCTCCATACTCAAATGCAATGTAGTTAAACCCTGTATGAAGATCGCAATGCTGCTGGCGTGGTTGGATGGCATTGACATCGTTAAGCTTAGAGAAAGAGCCTAAAAAGGCTGGTTCAGTGGTTAACGAGGGCACACGACTAGGTACCCCATGGCCAAACCTAAAAGATTTTGGTGTATTGGGTCGTAAATCTTTCTGGGACAGTTATACGAATAAGTTTTCCAATAGTTTCTAGTTGGGGCTATGTGGACAATTGAAAAGTGATCAACAAGAATTTCTCTCTGTAAGTCTCCCATGATACCAATCTGTCTATGATGTACGTCTGTGTTGCAGGAACGTGAACGATTTCAAACAAGGACGGCAAGGCGTTGCGGGCTTTCGAGAGAACTATTATACCCAAAATCGCAGGCCTTAATCGCTTAAGCTGTAACTGGGTGACGACTACCTACCTATGTGCACTATTTAGCTTTATTAGACAATTGTACAGTTTAAAAGTTGGTCTTATTGCTCAACGAGAGATGCAATAAAGCAAATTTGTGTTATTTCACATTCAAGGCCTGTATGCAGCTCTCAAGAAAAGCAAAAACTCCATATAAAATGACGTACAAGAAATCGTTAAGAAATTTTCTTGAGTCAAATTTCCTTAAGGCAGTACGCAGTTCTTAAGAAATTTACTACGCTTTCTACTACGGTTTTCTAAAGTTTTTTTGTGAAAAAAGAGCACAAGGCAACCCAGGTTTGCAACAGAAATATATGCTCGATCCATAATTTCTTGAGGAAAGAGTGAGGCAAAAGGCTGTGAGGTATCAAAAATGTCAAAATTCCTTGGACACACGCGCGAAATAATGGAAATTTTTTCTTGACCGTTTTCTTGAGAGCTGCATATAGGGCTTCAGTTGGGAAATAGCGTTGTGGCAAGAAGAATATAGAATAGAAATTGTTCAAATACTTGATTAATTTTCTGTTGTACTTGTTTTTTTTTTTTGAACTGCATTGATTGAAATATATGCAAGAAGAATGCTTTAGAGTTTTTTTTTCTGGCGAGAGAAGAAAGTGACATTAAAAAAAAACAGCTCGTAAGATTTGCTTATATACAGCGTGTAAAATAATAACTGTCGCACCAAGTTTTTCGAATAACGATGTGGTTAGCGTTATTTCGATTGATTAACAATTCATTCATAAACATTTAGGTTATTTACGACATACATATTTTAACTATTAATTTCAATCCTCGTACTCCTGGGGCTATGAGCCACCGAGCCGCCTCCATTATGGCATTTAGCTTTGCTTGAAAAACGCTACAATTCTCCGGTAAGCGAAAACTGAGGCTTAGCGTGAATTTTTCAGAGTAAATCCGGCTACCCACTCTTTTGTTAAGCTTGGAACCATCTCTATATATAGCGGTAGACCCTGGGTTAAAATTCGTTCCTCTCTGGGATTCTTATAGAGAACTTGTGTTAACTGAGTAGAGGAGTGGTATAATCTATATGTCGTAGATTTTTCGGTAGAGTTTCAAGTACTTTTGCGTGTCCGAATCTGAGGTCTCTCCACGGTTGGATCGTATTTAAGGTGGCCGCACTGCAGCCGGCCCGAACGGATTGAACATTATTTCCAGAGATTTGGTGGATTTAGCGGGGCAGTGCTCCCGTAACGAGCCCGGCAGCCGTCCTCTGCACCCATCTGCACCTTGGCTCTGGAGAGACTGTTGTTTAGCGCCGGCCACCATAAGGTGACCCCATAAAAAAGGATTTTTCTTATCACGGCCGTCTACATCCAGTGTACTATATGTGGTTTGATTCCCCCTTTTTGCCTATAGCCGTCTTACAGGCATACAGGGCCATATTGGCCTTCCTGGAGCGGTATTCAAAGTTCCGCTTCCAGTCTACTTTCTTGTCTAGAATAACTCCCAGATATTTAATCTCGGTTGAGAGACTAAATACCTCCGTTCAGGGTGGGATGTTTGAATATAGAAATTTTATACATCCTTGTGAAAAGTACTATTTCTGTCTTGGTAGGATTGACACTAAGTCTATATTTACCAGACGGAGTGTGTTTTGCAATAATTCACTCAGGACCTG